GTCTGCTTAACAAAAAAAACTGCAGTTCCTAGGGCCAGAAGAAGATGCCTGTTGAAGTTGACATAGGAAAGTAGCAGTAGTGGTAGTGGGGATGGTAAAATAATGCTGATGATGTGTTGATGCCAAATGATAACCAGCTCTGGTTCTAGAAAAAAATGGTTATGTAAGAAAAATAAAGATATCCTTCTGTGTATAATTAACTTTAGATGCATATAATAATATACAGTGTAAGGTACTATAATTTGAAAATTTGTTAACCTCTGCCTGTTAGGTCAGCATTGTACCTCATTATTGGAGATAAGGGATAAGCCAAGAGATGTTATAAGGATGCCTTGAATTTCACAGTTAGGATGAACACTTTACTTTTTAAAGTGTTCATTCATAATTTGTGATTCTTGAAAGAGCATAAGAATTGGCAAAGAAAGCATGGATAAGAACATAAGTGTGGGATATAAGGCACAATGATGCCATATGTCATAATACCTTCACATAAATTATGTCGTTAGTATGGTGATGTCATATATCACGTGTGACCTTATATAACCTTTCCTCTGCCTGCTTTTCCTCCTTCCTCAGGTCATCATATTTTGCCTCCTCTGCTCAATCTTCCTTAAGATGGGGAAGGAGTAAAATAATAGGAAAGGAAATGTATAGCTAGGGAAAAGTTAAGCAGCCTCTCCTGTTTGCTGATTCTCCCTCACAGATGCCCTTTTCCTGCCATCCATTAGAATTACAAAGTTGCCACAAAAGATTTTCCAGTGCTGTGATTGGAATTACATGCCCAGGGCCCTACATTTGGAGTAAAAAAAAAAGACATGTCTTCAAGGCTTTGCAGAAATACAGCAGGATTGGGGCAAGACTAAACTCTAGGAGAATGATATTCCAGAGTGTGAATGCCTCAGTAGAAATGGGTCTCCTTCTGGATCCCACCAAATGTTACTCCTTAATGGGCAGGACCCAGAGTATTCCTTTCCTCTTGGATCCGACAGGACAGGTAAATACAACCGAGGAGAGAGAGTGCTGGAAGAAACCTAGCTCCAAATCATGAAGGGTTTTAAAGATGACACCAGCCAGATGTGGTATTCAGCAGGTTCTGACCAGTTCTGGAGAACCAGTAGTGGAAATTTTGAGTAGTTCAGAGAACCAGTAAATACCACTTCTGATTGGCCCCATCCCCATCTATTCTCTGCCTCCCAAGTCCCAGCTGATCGGCTGGATCTTCTTTTGTTGCCTTGCACAGGAGAATGGAGCTGGAAAGCAGGTTAGTGGAGTGGAGAAGGAATGGGGATTTTACAGTATCCTTCCCCTGCCATGCCCACCAAGTCACGCCATGCCCACAGAATCGGTAGTAAATTGTTTTGAATCCCACCACTGCAAACCAGCACATCGAATTAAACCCAGAAGCATAGTGGCAACTGTTAGGGATAACATTGTTTACCCTAACTGGTTTGGGTAAAAATAATAAATATGTTATCATGTTTTGTTGGTTAAAGTGTGTGTAACTTTAACTACAAGAATGTAATTAAGGGTGTGGTTGTAAAAGCACCATAAAAGAAGCAAGTCAATTGCATCTCTCTCTCTCTCTGGCTTAATGATCCCTAATTACTGGATGGATTGATGACTGCGTTTTTCCTTACTGGAATGGAGGAGAGAAAGGAGTGTTGATTTCTCAACGGAGAGAAGAGATAATACGGACTGATTTATTGTAAGTGAACTGACATTGGCTATTCAACACGGACTTTGCAAATTGAGTATCCTCGACTGGACTGACTGAAATGATACATGACTAATGGACCGTTTATTTTGATTATGCTATAATTCCTAATGGAATAAACTATATTTTTGATAGCACAAGCGTATCTGTTTTTTACTGCGTGTTAACTAAAATACAAACTTATCTCACACATTTACCTGTCTTCCTATCTGACTACGCTACACATTCTGTTTAGTTTGTTTTCCTTAACACTCATTGGGGAATTCAGGCTTAACAGCAACTAATAATATCACACACACCGAATGGTAAGCACACATAGCTGCCAGCGTAGCAGCATTTCAAACTATTGTGGAATATTCCGCTACATAAAACAAACATAAAATCTCTGTCCTCAAATCCTACATTACACCATTGTTTTCTGATCTGCTGTTGTGTTTTGCTTGTTGTTTAGTGAGAGGATTTGTTTTTATGTACAAGAGCACTGGGCTGTCTACATTTCTCTGCAAATTCAGGTGCTACAGAACCAGATCAGCCTTTCCAATCATGGGCACAAGGCCTTCCTAGTCTTCCAGCTGATGAATCAGAATTCCCTGTTTAATTCTCAGTCACTCGGCTCTTAATGCTCAGTGGCTGCAGTTAATATTTAAAATAGAAGTCTTAGGGTTGAAGGCATTTCTGTCCAAGAGCCACAATATCAACTGCCGTGCATGTTTTCTCAAATCCTGTGCAATCTGGCTCAGGCATTCAAACCCTATCTGAAGCTACCAGCTGTGACTGGTAGCACATGTACCATGGAGGGGGCTCATAAATCATGCCCATGGGATACCAGTAAGTCACTACAACTTTAAATCTCCACCATACATATGTATCTAAGCATTTCATAAATGAGTAACTGAAAAACTCAGATTTTTTATCTCCATCGAATCTTTTGATAGGCAGATGAACACAAGATACAAAAGTTAAGACTGGGCTGCCAGGGACTTCCAGTTTGAAGGGCTTTGGCGACAGACAGGAATCCGCGATCGTGTGCGGTTTCTGCCTGGGCTCGCTGCTGGAGCTCCCCGAGCCGGCTGGTTTAGGGGCTAAGCCACACCGTAGAGGTGGCGAAAAGGGGGGAGACCATCAGCAGGGTCGAGGAGAGCCGCATCTCTCCTCCTGAGCTGGCCAAACTCCCTTTCCCGAAGGCAGTAGGAGCGGTGGTCAGAAATGGCCACCTCAAAGAAGTACTCAACCGGAAAAGAACGTGCAGGAGGAAGATAAGAAGTGAAAGTTTTGGCTGACCGGGTTAAGTTGAAAAAGCAATAACTAAGGTATCCTGGAATTTTAAATTTACAAAAGATAACATCGCTCACAAAGAAGAGTCGGAAGCAGCGAAAGAAAGTGAAAAGGGAAAGGTTTGGCTTTTTTTTTTTCTTCTCTCTCCTTCCTTACACTGACAGCTAAGAGACCTAAATAAGAAATCGGAAAAATCCGCTTTGGCATCAATAGGCAATTAAGCTGAAAATACAATTAAATGCCAAAGGGACAATAAAGATTTCTGGACATTAAAAAAAAAAAATTCTATAAGCAGGAGGGGAGAGAAAAAGAATAAGGGCAGGATCTGGAAGAGGGAGGAGACTGCCTGGACTTCAAAAGAATCTAAAGTAAAATTTCAATAAGACTTCTAAAAGATACATTTTAACTGAAACTTTGCAACTAAATATTAACCCCAGGAAGAGAAAGTGAAAAAAAAGAAAGTGTAAAAAGAAACAGCTTGTGTGTATTTGGATTGCTTGGTGACTTTTGGATTTTTGGTTATTATATTTGAATGACTAAAATTAATTGGGTGGTTGTTTAAAATTTTTACAATGACATCACTTTTGGATGAATCGAAAATGGAACTTGAAAAATACAAAGAGGATGCACAAGAAGGGAAGGGCTCTTTTGGCTTCGTTTTCCAATTCTTAGAAATGGAGATCTGGAACTATAAGAAACAACAAGAAAAGACTGTAAAACAAGAAGACTGGGACAAAGAAGAAGCCATCTTTAATGAAGAAGTAATTCTATGTGGGGAAGAAAAAGGAAAGGGGAGAAAGAGAATGGAGAACTTAAGACTTAAAAAAACAACCAAAGAAAAGAAAAATAATTTGAAAAATAAATATAATGTTGGAAAGCAACAGAAACGGGGAATGCAAAAGAGGGAAATAGCGGTAGAGAGACAAAGGGGTAAAAAGGGGAGAGAGAAGAAGAGAGGGAAGAAGGAAAGGAAAAGAAGTTACAAAGGTCCGGAGCAAGATATAAAGAAACAGGATCTATTTAGAGATAATGGGTGAAAATCTAACTGAAAAAGGGATTCTGTAAAGGTACATAAGCTTGTATTGTTATATTTGTAATAGAAATAACTTTAGAAAATTGGAAACAACATATGATTAAAAAGAGGGATAAAATAGTCAGTGTAATTTAGTGAAATGTTTGTGAATAAAATAAATGAAATAAAATAAATGAGAAAATTGAATTAGGAAGGAACGGGAACATTTTAATCAGTCAATGTTTTATAAAATATAAGTGAAGGGGGGGGGAATTAACTATGGAAAGTTCATAATTGTTCCCATAGAAGTATGAGATCTATTTGAAAAGTAAAGTGCAAAATGTTAAGATTTTAATGAATATTAATATTAATGATAGAATTGAATTGGAATGGATTGTTGTTTTAATTATATTATACATTTATAACTTTATCTTTTTTCAAGAATACAGTGTGTAGTTTAAGAGTGTACCAAGCAGAATCCGAATGGAAGTTATGTATTATTTTGAGTGTTATAATTTTAGGGGAAAGATATAAAGGCGTCATACTCCCATCAGTAACTACAGGAGAAATTTTGTTTAATGAGAAAAGATAATAGACAATTGAAACAGAACAGACAAAAAATATAAATACAATGATTTGAATTGAGATGGAATAAATAAAATAAAATTAAGAAAATTAAAAGAGGGGAGAAGCTATGTAGAAAATGTAAAATAGTAATAAGATATGGAATAGAATATAAATATGAGCATGAACCTGAATTTGCGTCTGTATGAAGAAATGTAACCCGGGATTATGCTGCTTTCAAAAAAGATGTTTTACTTGTATTTCTTTTCTTTTTGTGAAAACTCAAATAAAACTTACAAAAAAAAAAAAAAAGACTGGACTGCCATAAGAGCCGCGCTTTGGAAGGGAGTATGCAAGTATGTCTTTGTAATAGAACCTTTTCTTCCAGGGTTTTGCATCGTAAACCAGCGTCTCCTAGCAACCAATCCAGGAAGGATGGCCAATTTAACTGCGGAGGGTGTTAAAGCTGTCCTTCAACTGCAGGTAAAAAAGACAGGGAAAAGTTTAAGGTGATTGTGGTAGAGGGGAAGGGAGAGCCCCAGAAAAACTTGGTGAAATATAATATTGTAGTTTGCCAAGTTCCATCCCCATGGAAACCAGGAGGGCCTTTAAATAAGGCTTCAAATGCCTTCCTGCCTGTTTCCTGGAGAAATCTTGAAGGCTTGCATTTGTAAACTTTCTGGTTTTCTTCACTGTTTTATTTTGTTTTTTTACTTTATTCTGACCAAGAAAACAGTTTTTAAAAAAATGCTGTTGCACAGTGTCGTTTGATTTTAAAACTACTAGGAGATGATTGATTAAAGTAGCCGAAGATGCCTCAGCCAGATTCTGACTGTGCAGTTGAATGTTACAATTTGCCCTGATGTGACAATTTTAAACCCAGAGAGGGGCTTTTCATGCTGGATTTTTTTAATGTGTTTATATATGAGAGGTTGACCTTGATGGCAGAAGTTTTTCTTTAAGAATAATGCAATTAATTACTGGTCTCTTGGATTGTTTTGATATTTCATTTTCTAACCTAGTGATGACAAACCTTTTGGGCTTGGCATGTCAAAAATTCAGAAAAAAATGGACTCGACTCCTCTCTCCCTCCTTCCCTCCCTCCCTCTGTCCTAGGAAACAGGCAATGGCAAACCACTTTTGAAATCTTTCCCAAAAAACCGTTGGGATTTATTCAGGCAGTTGCCAGAAACACTGACTCCCTCTCTCACTGACACTGACACACACTCTCTCTCCCTCCTTCCCTCTCTCTTTCTCTCTCTCTCTCTGTCTGTCTGTCTGTCTCCATCTCTCTCTCTCTCTCTCTCTCTCTCTCACACACACACACACACACACACACACACACACAAAAGAGAAACAATTTCTACCCACGCACATCTAGGCCACCCTGAGCAGTGGTACTCACTGAGGACTTTCTTCTTGCACTGAGGAAGTAGAGTGCAAGGGCCACGCAGCCCACTGCTCCCTAGGATCTGCCATGCATCACTCTGGAACCTCCAAAAACCACAAAAAAGCACACTTCACATAAGAGCATGGCCCACTTATGTGTTGCAGAGGCCCACTTGCGTGTTGTTGGAGGTTGTGTGAGAGCACACCCCCTTCTTGTGCAGCCTCACACATTGCCCAAAAGCATGCCTCGTTTTTGCACGATTTCTAGAGGCTGTGGAGGCAGCCATTCTCGTGCAGCCTTGGCAACCTCCAAAAATTGATGAGGAACAGGGCATGCTTTCAAGAATACCCAATAGGTATTGGCAAATACAAGTGTGTCACCCAAAACATAATGGCATCTTGCTTTCGACACACATGTCATAGGTTTGCTATCACTGTCCTAACCTTTATCCATTTATTACATTTTCATAACTCACCAGCTCAAATTGGCATAAGGGATTGTCCACAGAGACAAAGAATGTGACTGGCCTAAAGTCACTTCATGTATTCAGTGGCAAAGTAGAGATTTAAACCTGTGTTTTGTTTACTAAATTTGCCATTCGTATTTTGTTGTGGGTTAGTGTTTTTCCCCCAAAAAATCACAATCATAGAAATACAATTATACTGCAACAACACATCACTAGGTGGGGGAAAGACACATTGTTTTTAAACAGTTCCAGTTTGATTATGATTTTTCTATATATATTTAAAAACTGATTATTAATGTCCATAATTTGGAGTGGTCCAACTCAAGCAGAATTAAACTAATGAATTAGTATTATAGGCAGATCAAATCAAATCAAGTTTGTTACAGTCAAAGACTAGAGACCAGAACAAATAAAAATATTCAAGGAATATCCAGTTAAAAATTCTAGAATGAAGTAATAAATAATAAATAAAATCTGTAGTAAAATCACAATTTGGCATCCAATCTGTCAGTTAGACATGGCCTAACTCAGAGGTGGTATTCAGCAGGTTCTGACCAGTTCTAGAGAACCGGTAGCGAAATTTTTGAATAGATCGGAGAACCGGAAAATACCACCTCTGACTAGATATTTTACAGTATCCTTCCCCTGCCACGCCCACCAAGCCATGCCCACAGAACCAGTAGTAAAAAAATTTGAATCCCACCACTGGCCTAACTATACTATAATATCAATCCTTAAACTGTGAGGCCTATAGTCATTAAGTACTAAAATGCAAAAGAGTAGTAATGTCTGTTATATTAGTTGTGTAAAATAGCTATGGAGGATTAATCACATGTTTCCGATTAATTCCCAGTGGATTATAGGCAGTATTTTCAAATTTGATTACTTATTTATAAATTGCACTAATCCATTGTATGTTTTTTTAAATGTTGTGTTGTATTATCCCAGCAATTGTGTTTTGCAAAGCATGATGGATGGTGGATTATAGTGTCTTAACAAGGTCTCTAGGGTTGGTTCAGAAAATTCTAACTAAACAATGTTTTAATGTGATGTGTGAAGCCAACCAGAGAATTGGAATTTTATCACTGGCAGAAATCTTAAAAGTTAATCTAGTTCACCCCTCTAATTAATGCGAATCTACAATTTAGAATGCAACTTCCACATGTCTTAAACCTTTTTCAGGCTGAATTCTTCTACAAAGTACAGTATGTTCCCAGACGAAAACATCCCAATTTCGCCTTCATTTTAAGAGCTCTATAAAAGAAAAAAAAATCCACGTATATTCTTTTCTCACTAGACTGTTTCAGAACTGAAAACAAGACTCAGTTGGGTAACAGAGTTCTTTTTATGAGGCTCCTTTATTTCTTTCAATGTCTTTTGAGAGAACATATTTGGCCAAAATCTTGTCTTAACAAAATCCAGGTGTTGTGTTCATATAATACTATGCTAGAATTTGCTGCATCCCATTTTGTCATTAGAGATTGACACTTTTTAAAAATTCTAGATCTGATAGCCTAGAATATCATTTTTTTTTTTTTTTTAAAAAGGGATGCTTGGTGGGATAGGCCAGGCCAGGTTACACTATTTATTTATTTATAAATTTTATAGGCTATAGGCAGGAAGGATTCTGATATTGGACTTACCACAGTGTGTTCTTAGGGTAGTTTTATATGTTTATGCAGAGGTCTTACAGTTGTGTCTGGAGGAGTACAACCCATTAAGAACTAAAAATCCACCACACTGGAAAAATTAAGAGCAGCCACTTAGTTGTGTCAGGTTGAATATAAACGTATTCCTCTTCATGAAGACCACAATAGCCTCCAGCCCTTAGAAAAACCCTTGACAGTGTCAATTGGTTGAAGTAGAATTGAGATATACAACTGATGATACCTGAACCTATGTTGAAGAAAGATCTCACCTAGTGGCTTTATGTAGATATTAAATAGAAGGAATGAGACAATTGACCCTTTGGCATCTCACCAGTCATGGGCTTAGGCTTGACTTCCCTCCCTTGTCAACACTGAGAACCCAGCAGGCAGACCAGCAGAAAGTTCAACAAACTGTCCAGTAGATAATCCTACAAGCAAACCTGGTAGCTGGCCAATCGATAATCTTTCAAAAGAAATTGACCAGATAGGACCTTGATGGTTAATGTCAGAGTCCAGTGCTCAAACTAGAAGGAGCAAGCATTCACTCTTCCACCAAACCCCATCTTCATCGCAGCACTACCATATGGCTTCTCTTGGTGAAACTTTGATGCTTTACAGTCACTAGTTGTCCTGCTGCAATACCTCCATTCATTTTACTCCAATCTTCAAAATGGGGACTTTCAAATGGATCTTTTCTCATGCTGTGCCAGAGTGAGTGAATCCATCATGAAATATTTTTCAAGTCAAGGATCTGTCTCTTTACTATGAGCTGACCACAGTCTCCTATTCTATGTCTTGTACATTATCTTACATTGGCCCTGCATCAAACATCAGCTCCTGACCAGAGTACTTTTCATTTTCAAAACCAGCTTCAAATTTTCAAAAAGCTATTTTAATAAAACTCATTACCCACTGACTAAAGGAACACAAGTACATATCACCATTATCTATGCCACCAATTAAAAGCCCTTATCAAGCATTTAAAAAAAATAAAATTACTTTTAAAAAGTTCTGCAGAATCACAGGAAAGTTGAGTTTTTTAACCTGATACCATTTTGAAATCTGAAACTTATGTTCTTACATTTCAAAGGCATCTCTTGTCCCTGAGCTAAGGTTATATGGGAACCATAACCATATGGTTTAGTCAGCAAACCATGATTCAACTAGATTTAAGCTTAGTTTTATGCTGGACAGGGGACCCTATTACAGTACTGTCTCTTCAGAATCAAACCACAGCTGTACAAAAAAAAAAAAAAAAAAAGAATAATGCAGCATTAGTGGCTATTACTCATGATAGTTACAGGGCATTCCCAAATAATGATTTAGCATCATTGGTTTGATTATATAAAAACTGTCTTCGTTGCTAATATATTGGTATAGCAAGGACTGGTTGAAATGGAAGATGCTGTAAATCATCAGAGTGGAAATAGCCACATAAGAGCTGTTGTATTGTAAGCTTCCCAGAGTAAAGTTGGCTTCTGTGTGGAACAGAAGGCTGGGCAAATTGGTCTGTGATATTTTAAATTCTTCCCTGATATGAAGCAGTACCACATATTAACAGCTTTTCTTGTCTGGTGCTTTTTTCAGCAGAAGCCTGGTCGCTTGTTTCTAAGAGATTTGCTGGAGTGGAAGGAGTTTGATGAAATTCAGGAAGTACGTCAGAGTATCAAACTTGATGCCCATTACTATAGCCTAGTGTTTGCTGCTAACAAAGGTTTATCCTGGCAAGCTGTGGCAGAAGTAGGAAAATTGACAGGGGAGCTATTGCAGGAAACCCAAGGTAAGCCAAGATTGCATTTGTTACAAAAAAAGTACACTGCAACAGTTTCAACTGTAAAGGAAACATTTGGGTTGACCTGAGTCAACTTTGCACCTGCTTTTATAGGCGACCAATGTGGAATATATCAGTATCTGATGTGGAAGGAATGAGGGAGACTTTCCTTCCTTCCTTCTTTTATTGTATTATCACATTATCATTATGGTTGGTTGGTCACATAGTTAGTCAAATGTTTAGACTGAATTTCGCATTTTTGTCCACTTATTGAATCATTCCCAAGAACCTGGGTTAGGCAGATACTTTTGTTTAATAATATTAAAAGTATCATCATAAGATATAAGCTGTTCCAAGTAGAGCTGCCTTTTGCAATTGATGGAAGGTGATTATGTCAGTGCTGATGGTGTTCAAGTGATGCTTCAGATGTTTTGGGATTCAACTGTCAGTACTTATTACCTTTGATATTATATTTGCTTTCTTTTGCCACAGTCATTCTACTTCTATTTGCAAGTTTGTGGTTTTCTCCAGTTCTTTCTCTTCTCTTCTGCAGTCTTCAGGTAATTGCAACATCCACTATCCAGACTTTTTGTCTTTCTTATTGACAATTATTAAGTCTGAAGCCTAATTATTAAGTTAGGTGGCAGGTGCTTGTCTGTTTGAATTCTAAAGTCCCAGAGCACTTTAGCATCTTCATTTTCTTTGTCTTCTTTTGTCTATTTGTGTGCTCCTTGCCAATTCTTGCTAGCAGACAAATAGTTTCTTGCAGATATTTCAATTCACCATTGTTTATGCCAATTCACTCTTGTTTCTATTTGTCATGCTGTGGTTTGTAATTGGTTTGTGTGATCTTCTTACAGCAGCTAAGTGGTCCTCTGTTTCTTCAACTTCTTTGCAGAAGTGGTATTAGCTGACTGTTGTTATCTTCTCAATTCTGACTTTGTATACACTTGTTTTTAAGGCTTGGTCTTGTGAAGCCAGAATTAGCCCATCCATCTTTTTCTTCAGCTTTCTTGCTCTTAGACAGTGGTATATTAACCATTAAATAGATTAAGCACGTTCTTAGGGCACTAGGCCCAAAGGGGGCACCACAAAAACTTTTATGTAGCCTAAGTTTGGCTTTGTTTCTCAGTATGTACAAAAGAGGGGGGCACCAAGATTTGTCAGTGCTTAGGGCACCAGTGAGCCTTAATCCACCACTGCTCTTAGCCATCTGCATTGTCTGCTGGGTCAGTTTGGTCCCTCCGGTAATCAGTAAATCTTCATAGTGTACTAGCTTCCGTGCCCCCTCTTCACTTCTTCCGATACCCCTTTTTCTTTTTCAACTGTCCAGTATACCTGCAACATTCTATGCCCACCTATGAATCTTGGGGAATAGAATCTGTCAACCTCTCTGCATGGATGAAAGACATGATTCATTGCCATTACTTTTATCATTTTCCAATCCAGGATTTTTAATTCTACTTGAGTCCAGTTCACTATTCCAGTTGTGTATACAAATTTGGTGACTAGAATTGCCTGGGTGTTAATGTCCTGGTGGTATTTTCTCCACTGAGTTTGTACTTTGAGATCTTCACTGTCATAATGTATTCTTTTCTAACCTTCTTCTTAACTTCAGTGTGCTTAATATGTTCAGTTTGAAGGATGCCCATGTATTTGTAGTGATCTTTATCCGGACTTGATGTAATTTCCATAGGGCATATTAATAGATTATACCTGGCCCATAGAAATGAGGCAGAAGTTTACTTCAAGTCAAACAGTCAAAGAAAATCATGCATTGGCTGATTACGTAAAAGACAGCCAAGAACAAGCATTGCTGTAAATTAAAATTTGAACTTGTGCAAGAAACAAAATATGAAAAGCCATCACACAGTCAATTTCTACAAAAGATTGAGGGATTTTTTTGGGATCAGCTGTTCTTTGTTTTACTGAAACCTGGCTTAATCCACAAATTCATGAGGATGTTATGTCTCACCTGTATCCACAGGTGAGCAATCAAAATTCCAAAGTTCCAAAAATATAAGCAACCAAAAACAAACCCCAACAAAGATAACTGCTGAGGTTTTTCCAGTCCTCAGCAGTAGTTCTGAAATCTGTTTGGCATTCCTGAAGTGCCTATAAATCACAATGCCTCAGATAATCTTCACAGTACTTTCGCTCTAACAAGACACTTTGCTTCTGGCAAATTTCTCAAGCCAATCCGTTTCCTTTTATCCCCTAAGGGGGCGTGTTAGTCTCATTAATTAATCACTGGCTTGACGCTTCTTTCCCAATTGAGATTGACGTCTCAATCTCCGTCTATTTCTCACGTCAAGCCAGGATCCCTCAAAGTTCTCCTCCTCACTTGAAACCTCTCGCACGTTTTCCTGATTATCTGTTACTGGCTGCTGCGTAATCAGAGAGGGAGATTCGGGGGAGGGAGAGGACTCCGACACCTCCAATAAATTAGGTTCGTCTCTCATAGCTAAGTCCACTTCCTCATCGTGGCTACCTTCAAAATCACTTAATAATGCAGGTTCGAATCTCAGTGCCAGATCCTCTTCACTCGAGCTCACATCTGCTAACAGACCAGATTCAAATCCCGGAGTCACAACATGAGGATACCACCATTTACATCTCAGGATTTCAGATATTTAGATCAGACAGAATTGAGGAGACATCAGGTAAAACAAAGGGCGGAGGATTATATAGCAACAACAGTTGGTCTCAGGATATAACTATAATATATAAATTCTGCGATGAAAATTTAGAGTCTTTACATATCAACTGAAAGCCATTTTAGTCTCTACATGAGTTCTCCTCATTTCTCCTCATAGTTGTGTATGTTCCTCCCCAAGCTTGTGTAAACAAGGCATTACGAACTCTTGCTGATCAAATTATGGAGGCTGAAGCCCAACACCTAGATTCCCTTCCCGTCATTTTAGGAGATTTCAATCAAGCAAATTTAAGGAAAGAGCTCCCAAACTATTTCCAACATGTAAATTGTCCCACCAGAGAGAGGCAAAAATACTTTAGACTACTGCTACACAACAGTAAAAGATGCTTAAATTTCTCTTGACCAAAAGTCATTAGGTATCTTCTCACATGTTCTCATGATAGCATTCTTCACTTAATTTGGGCTAGGGATTTATTCGCCCACATTTCATGATTCATTCAAAGATACCAAACATGACCACTTCATTGTACATTTTCCTTTTCAAAGTATGTGTTTTTCTTCTCTAACTTATCAATATGTTTTGATTGCACCTATCTAGATTGCTTAGTCATTTTCTGATGCTTGTGATATTGTATCGGCTGTCTTTTATTCTCACTGGCCTTCATTTGATTTAGAAATTCCTGAGGTGTTGACAATGGCTACTGCAGTTGGCTTTTTGACTCCAGTCTTTGCAAAGTCTTAAAAAGAATCACCCCATCTGTTTCTAGACATATGAAATGTTTAAACTGCTGACATTCAAACAGTTGGATATTAGAATGGAAATGTAAAAAGGACACTGGCAGTAAGGATTCCTTTCGTAACCACTTACCTGAACTGTTCATTTGTAAATTATGTTCCTGTATGGCACTAGTCGTTTATTTTCAAGCCAAACGATGTTCTAAGCAAAATTTAAATTTAAGACAGCTTTTTGTTACAGTCTAGCCTCTTTATTTCCAACACTAGATCTGAGGACTTTGGAACAGTGGTGGGATTCAATTTTTTTTACTACCGGTTCTGTGGGTGTGGCTTGGAGGGCATGGCAGGGGAAGGATACCGTAAAATCTCCAGTCAGAGGTGGTATTTGCCGGTTCTCTGAACTACTCAAAATTTCCGCCACTGGTTCTCCAGAACTGGTCAGAACCTGCTGAAATACCACCACTGCTTTGGAAGATATATTTTATCAAAAATTGAAATGCTCCAGGCATTTACTTCTATTCAGGATTTACATATTGTTTTTATTGCTAAATTGTTCTTCATCAAGTCTTCTCTAAGTTTGAAAGTAATGGTAATCAAAATAGCTTGAGAGAGACCCTATATCACATGCCATTTACTTCTTTTTTGTTATTTCTTTCTTTCTGCTGTTCTTCATTAGACAAGTCAATGGTTGTTGTGTATCACATATTTTTCCAGAATTTCTGAGATACATATAATTTCACTTTCTTTTTCTTTTTCTAAAAAAATCCCATCTTTGTATGTCTCAGTTTGTTCTAGTTTTTGTTCATTGTCTTCTCTTTTATTTTTGATTTGCAAGTTTGATCCCTTTCAATTTTTTGTGTGATTTGACAGTAAATAATCTCACTGGCCCATTTGAATCATGTTTTTTGTGAGTCATTCTACTGATTCAGCACTGCCTCAGGTTGGTCATAATTTGCTAGTAGTTAAGGGAAACTATTAGTCACTGGTGCTTCTGGATTGACCTCTAGCATTTAACATTGTATTTAGAATAGAACAGAATAACAGAGTTGGAAGGGATTTTGGAGGTCTTCTAGTCCAACCCCCTGCTCAGGTTTCATCTTGGTCACCTTTTTTTCATGTCTCATTTCTTTTAATTCTCAAGAATGTCTGCTGCTAGTGTGAAATGTGTTTTTATTAATGGGAGACACTGTAAAGATTTTCATTAATAAAACCATAAGAAAATTGCTACTTTTATCTACTGAGTATATGAAGAATTCAACCATTTCTTATCACTGACATAGTCAAGTAATTAGTTTAGTTCCTATTTCCTATATCTTCTTTGGACTATTAATAGTTTGTTAGCAGTCCTTTCTGACTGTGCTCTCTGCCCTTTCTTAGGGATCCAGAATAGTGCAATTTGTATGGCACTATTTGTATCTTTCCCAATTTATTCCTCTTTCTTCCTCTGCCAATCTTTGCATTGGCTAGGTCTTTAAAAGTCTTGCCAAGACTTACCATTTTCTGGTGCCAACTTTCTGAACTGGGCATACAGAAAGACCACTTACCTGAACTGTTCATTTGTAAATTATGTTCCTGTATGCTTAGTTCTATTCAGTAAACAGGATTTCTACATATCACA